CTGGTCTTGGAACTCCTGACCTCAAATGATCCACCTGCCTTGGCCTCCCAAAGTGCTGGGGTTACAGGCGTGAGCCACCATGCCTGGCCACTTTTGGCTTTTTAAATTATGGAGAGGGCTAGGCTATATTTAGGTACTTCTATGTAGGTAGTATATAGATAATTTTACCCTGCTTTGTTTCCAAATAATTTGGCTGTCTCAATATATGATTATGTCAGCTTTTCTGCTGGAGTAAACTGTATAGAAGGGGGAATAATAATCAAGATGATAGTAATTATTATTATTAGAAATTCAATAATCCTTTGATCATAGGGCTATGATTATCTCCACTGGACAGGTAAGAAAACTGCCTGATCCTGCGGCGTTTGTGTTCGCTCAAAATTCTTATGTTGAAATCTCAATCTCCCAGGGCGACGGTATTAAGAAGTGGGGGTCTTTGAGAGGTGATTAGGTCAGGGAGCAGAGCCCTAATTAATGAGATTAGTGACTTCATAAAAGAGGACCTAGAGAGCTACCTTGCCTGTTCCATCCTGTGAAAACACAGTGAGAAAGGCCCATCTGTGGACCAGGAAAGGGACCCTCACCAGACGCCAAATCTGCAGAGGCCTTGATCTTGGACTTCCCAGCCTCCAGAACCATGAGAAATGAATTTCTGTTGTTTGTAAGCCACCTGGCCTGTGGTATTTACTATTTATTTTAATTTTTTTTTTTTACAGCAGCCAAACAGACTCAGATGGGGTGAGTGACTTGCCCCATAGGCAAGTGGTGACAAAACAGGGACAGCAACCCTAGGTGTGCCTTACTTTAGAATCGTAGGCTCCTGCTCTTACGCTCAGTGAGAAATGAGGCTCTGAAATAAAGTCAGGTTTCAATGGATACAGTCATCTCTTTTACCCTTTTGAAAAAACAGAAGTAAATGCCACACCGTGCTTTGTTTCTTGAAGGGGCACCACCCATCAGCCCATGCATCTAGGATTGTTTCCCATCTGGATGTAGCTGCCTTTCTGGAAAGGGATAATATAGAGAACACTCACCCAATCCTCCCATTTTCCTTTAGGGTTTTTCCTGATGATGGGATGAAGACGAGCCATAAGAGTTTGGCAGACATTCCAAAAATGAATATTTGAAATCAGAAGTAAAAGGCACAGGGAATAGCAAAATGTTAAGTCTTTAAATCGATTCAAATGCAGACCATTAGTTTGGTGAACATGTTTCCTAGTCTTCTAGGCAGGATTTCCTAAATTTGAGTAATGTATAGCATCTCTTCAAAGGAAAACATTCTGTGAGTCCTGCGTGTTGACTTAAAATTATTTTTATTATACTGTTTTAATATATGCTAACATGAAGTTAGGTAGAGACTCCTTAGAGTTATAGCTCTTTAATAACTAGAAATCAAAAACATAATCACAGGATGTGCACACCTTTCTGTATGCCAATGAAACTCAAAATAACAACATTAATTTAGTTGATCAATGAGGTTGTTTTCTGCAGCTAAACTGCTGCTTGGAATGTGGAAAAAGTATTGATTGCAGTGGCCCAGGTACTTTGGAGTTTGACATGCCTATTACGTGCTAATGGATAGATCGATTTTCTCCCCACCCTTCTTACTGAAATTGCCATTGTATTCATTTGCATTTTATATCTTGCCATCGTCCACTCTTCACTGGGCAAGAAACAGTCATTTATATATGACATTCATCTCTGCCCTGTTGCTTTAGCATAAAGTATACTCTTTGTCCCAGATGTGGACGGAGATCTCATGGCAATATTCCAGTTACAAAGCAGTCATTCGGATGATAAGAAATATACCTGCATTTAATTTTTAAAGTTTATCATTAAAACAAAATAAAAATTATTGAAGTAAAATCTTGGATTCCTGTGATTACACTTGCTGACTCCTGAGTGTCTGTGGACCCCAGCCTGGCCTCCACTTGGAATTAAAATACAGATGCATTCAGATCTTTGCCCCCACTCATTCATCTCAGCCTCAGAATAAGACCCCATCTCAGAAAAAGAACCTAAGTTTTTGCTATATGTTTCTTTTGAAAATGATGTGAATTACCTACCCAGCATCAGATGATGAAACAAATTTTGTATTGTAATATTGTTCTAGGAAAACTCATCTAGGAAGTTAAATCTGTTCTGTTGAATGAGTTCTAAATGCTAATTGTAATGGGGTTTTTGTAATAACTTTAATTTTGCATTATCCACACCAGTTCGTTACTCATTAAACAAAAAAAGTAATAGTTACCATAGGATAGTAACTCTCAGGAAAGCCCGCATATACTCATTAATTGCTTCCCCTAAAGACTAAAAATATATAGAAACTAAAAATGTGCATATTGAAGAACATCATTCAATATATTTAAGCAGCTATACATTTCAGGTTCAGCTGTAACATTCTGGTGTGAAGGTTAATGGCTATCTTAGTGAAATATAATTTTTTATTTCAAAAAAAAAAAAGAAAATATGATGTGATTGTTGGCTGTAAAAGAATCTAGAGCCTTGGGAAGCTGTGGGTTTTGGTGAGCCTTGAAAGCATAATCGACCCACTATGCAAGCCCACTGAAGGACACGCAGATGATCAATCGTGACCCGTTTCATTCCAAGGAGCACTCTCTCAATCTGCTAGCTGCGTTTCTGCCCAAGCCAGATGGAAGCCAGTGTACGGAAAGGCTTCTGTTCCCTTTAGCATTTTCCTACATTTTTGGACTCCAGATGAAGAATTTTACTTTGTTTCAAAGGTGACTTGGCAATATTCACATAGTCCTAAAAGAAGTTTTTGTGCCATAATTTGAACTGTGTCCATTATAAAAACAATCTCATTCTTACATGCATTTTTTTTTGTGTGTGCAACCATCACCACTATCTAATACTTTCTCATAATCCCAACAGAAACTCTACAACCATTAAGCAATAACTCCCCCCTTGTCCCTACAACCTGGTCCCTCCTTCCAGCTCCTGTAACCTCTAATCTGTAGGTTTGAAAAGGAACCCATCTATAAGTGCTTCCTGCAAGGGATGAAGTGCCTCAATAGAAAGAGACTGGAGGGGACTTGGCACTCAGGGTGGGGCTGGGGCAAGGCACAAGAGGCTAAAGCCAGAGGAGAGGCCCTGCCCATGCCCAAGTTGCCCAGGAGGGACTCTCAGAAGGCCTCAGATGTAACATGGCCAGATCACATTGATTCCAGCCAGTTAAGGTCTTTTCTGCTTTTTACGTCTATGCTCTTCTCTCCTCTGACTCTACAGGGGTCTGAAATGTAGGTTAGGAAGCTAAAGGGGAGCAGAAAAAGCACAGGGAGGGAGATGGGGAGAAGCCACCCCAACCCCCTTTCTACCTGCAGGCCCAGATGGGAGGCAGCAGAGACACTGCAATTTGAAATACATTTTGGAATTTTGGACTAGACATTTTAATTATTGAAATGAGGTTATTTCTGTGAAAGAAAGTGATCCATGGAGTTTTCATTATCTTAGAGTAAGTAGAAAGTTCTAGGTAGAGTTTATTTGGGGGAAGGAAGAGGAAGCTCGCAGAGGGAACTTGAACCACCCTTGGGAGGAGAAAGCATGAAGCTGCTTTCTGCGGCATGCCTTGGCGTGTCACATGGCATCCTTTCACAGTAACAGTTTCACGTATTTATTTATTGTCTGACAGATTGTGAGCCCAGGCTCTTTGGATTTTGTCCTTTTTCATTTATTGCTATACCCCTAGTGCTTAGAACAGGATCTGGCACCTGGAAAGCCTCAGTAAATGTTTGTTAAACTCATGTTGAATCAGTAAAATAATTGTGAAATCACACAAATTTATGACTTTTCATATGATGACTCATTAAAATTCATGATAAAATATGGAAATTTTTCAAAAAATATTTTTGTTTCCTCATTTTTTTGGGTGTCCTTACCTTATCATACCTGAGACCATAGCTAGTTGTTTATTGGGTGTCTCTTTGCACTGTGTGCTTGCAATGCAATTAACATCTGGATGAAAGGTAAAGAAATGGACTCAGTCATTTACATGGTTTTATTAAAATTTGAATTATCCAGAGCATTTTTCCTAGGCAGGCTTCTTTACTGCAGGACTTGTCAGAGCCTTTAATAAGAAATATGCCTTAGCAGCGGCTCACACCTGTAATTCTAGCACTTTGGGAGGCTGAGATGAGTGGATCATTTGAGGTCAGGAGTTCGAGAACAGTCTGGCCAACATGGTGAAATCCCATCTCTACTAAAAATACAAAAATTAGCTGGGTGTGGTGGCACATCCCTGTAATCCCAGTTACTCGGGAGATTGAGGCAGGAGAACCACTTGAACCCAGGAGGCGAAGGCTGCAGTGAGCCGAGATTGCGCCACTGCATTCCAGCCTGGGCAACAGAACAAGGTCCCGTCTCAAAAAAAAAAAAAAAAAAAAGCAATATGCCTTATAAGCCTCAATGAGTGGGATGTAGTAAGCATGTGGCATTTTCCAAATCTGTTGACTATAGAATCCTTTGTTTTTTCCACCGAGCATTTCATGGGACTGCTATCACAAGGAGCATACTTCAGGAAGCCATGGTTCATATGATACATGAATATATTTCATACGCTCAAAGTTTCTCTTTTCATCCAGGTGTTTGTCATTTTGTGGAGATGGTCTCTATGAGTGACTAGTGGCCAATCAGCAGTTTTCTAGTGAGGAGGAAGGCAGTGGTGGTGGCTTTACTGCACAATCCTTGTAAATTACCCAGCAGTTCTTTGAGGTGGGTGGTGTTCATAGCTCCAGTTTTGCAAAAGAGGAAACAGATACCTCGAGAGGTTAATGACTGGCCCGAGCCCTCTGTGGAACCAGGATGGGATAACCCTGCATTATTCTGGTATGCTGGGGTGAGAGAAGAGTCTCAGATAAGACGAAAGGAGGCTGCTGAAGGTGCAGATTTTCACATGCAGTAGAACAGTAATTATAAAAACTGCTCAGCACGGCGGGAGGAACACTAAATGGGAGCCTCGGAAAACTGACGTGGAGCCTTGGTCCTGCCAGTCATTAGCCAAATGTCTTAGGATTTGACCTTTCTTGGCTTCAGTTTCATCTTCCACAAAAGAAAGGATGGGACAGTGTTCTTTCCAGCACTGTCTTTGAGTGACTGGGAAATGAAAGAAAAGTCACCTGCACAGCCTTTCCATTGATGTCTGTCCCCACTGATCCTGCTGTTAAGACGGCATTGGGCACCATGACGGTGCTTGTTTCGGACAGGTGTATGTATGACTGGGGGATGTTGAGTTTGTGACTAGCCATCTGCCAGAAGCAGAAAAAAACATTTGTTGCATGGACTTTAAGCCTCTCCCCCAAATTAAAAGTTACAATCTTTTTAGAACTGAGTATAAACCTGGCTATTCTTCTATAGAGATAAACATTTTAGCTGGTATCTTGTGTTTTTATGTAGATTAATGCTCTTGAAGACTTTAAATGGCACTGTTAAAGATACATTTCTTTTCAGAGACATGTGCCCAACCAAAGAGCTTTTTTATGCTTTCTCTTTATACCGCTCTCATGGAAGCCATGTGGCAGGATGCTCACTCTGGGACAGCTAGTGTAGCAGGACAGGTGCAGGCAAATTTGAGGTCCTGGTCTTAAGTTTTCACCTTCATCTTCACCTTGTGGTTTACAGACAATTTAACAGATTATGTTTCCTTCATGGTACATTTTTTAGGCAAAAGGGTTTTGTTGTGAAGAAGCAAGATATATTCAAAGAAGGCCCTGTGGATTTGTGTGATTTCCTAATTCCAAGTATACTATTAAATAATATTCTTTCCTTAAAGAAAATGTCTTCTCCTTATTTCTCATTGGGAGTGAAGCTTTGTTTCCCATGTATGTTTCTGAATCAAATGTCTTATTTCACATTTAAAAAAAGGGCAAATTTCTTATTTCACATTTAAAAAAAGGGCAAATTTCTGAATGCAGTAAACTCTTGCTCATTCAACAATATTTGAAACACTTTCTTGAATTGGCACACATAAGGGTCAGTTATATGATGTAGCTAAGTTGATTGTTAATTCTAGGAGCATAATTTTGTATCCTACTAAATGCACTCACTTCTAATTGAGGATTTGGATGAACACAGTATTGCTCTGAGCAGATGCCAGAAAGTTTACAAATATCTTATCTTTGAAATATGGAATCACATTTTTCAGAAGACCTGTGGACTTGGTTCTCTTGTATGCAGGAGGAACAATAGAAAATATAAATTCTAGGCCAATCATCGTGGCCCATGCCTGTATTCCCAGCACTTTGGGAGGCTGAGGCGGGTGAATTTCTTGAGCTCAGGAGTTCAAAACCAGCCTGGGTAATATGGTAAGACTCCTGTCTCTATAGGAAAATACAAAAATTATCTGGGTGTGGTGGCACACACCTATAGTCCCAGCCACTCAGGAAGATGAAATGGGAGAATTGCTTGAGCCCAGGAGGTTGAGGCTGCAGTGAACTGTGATTGTGCTAATGCACTCCAGCCTGGTGACAGAGTGAGACCCTGTCTTAAAAAAAATTTCCTTCAACCTAACACTCATTTTCCTCACGTCCCTGCATTTTTGCATTTCTAAAGTCAGAAGTCTTACAATTAACTTGTGCATTTAGTGTGATAGTATTTCTCAAGAAAAAGCTGTTAAGTTGAATGCAACATGCTATATTCTTCTACATTGGAGAAGACAGACACTGATCTCACCTGAATCATTCTGGTGTTCAGACCTTGTCCCAGTTCACAGCCACCATGAGTCACCAAGACAGAGCCATCGAGATAGATGTAAACTAGAGCAGCCACCTGGAGGGAAAAAATTATATCAGTTTGGAAATTGATATAGCTAAATGTGATGAGTGTAGCCTAGGTCGCTGGATGAACAGTCTTCTTTCATTAAGCCAATCTTTCATTTTTTTAATTTTACAATTTAAATATCTTTATTTCATTAAAAAATTCTGGAGAATATTATATTATTCTGGAGAAGAAAGCTATTATTGGTGGCTAGAGACAACGTCTTGCAAGAAACCCCAGACTTCAAAATCATCAATGTAGATAGATGAATGTGTTTATTTTCCATCACACCTGGCTCCTGGCTACTGGAGGTCTTGTATGGTTCCCTTGGAAGCTGTCTTTCCGAAGCCCCAACTTGTAAACATTTTATTATTCTTCCCTCCCTGGGTATAAAAATTAATTTTAAAGTAAATGGAACTCACATGAGTCAATTTCCAGGCATAGCATTTTCTGGATACTAGAGGAACTGGAAGAACCTTGAGATTTTTTTTTTTGAGACAGAGTTTCGCTCTTGTTACCCAGGCTGGAGTGCAATGGCGCAATCTCGGCTCACCACAACCTCCGCCTCCTGGGTTCAGGCAATTCTCCTGCCTCAGCCTCCTGAGTAGCTGGGATTACAGGCACACGCCACCATGCCCAGCTAATTTTTTGTACTTTTAGTAGAGACGGGGTTTCACCATGTTGACCAGGATGGTCTTTATCTCCTGACCTCGTGATCCACCTGCCTCGGCCTCCCAAAGTGCTGGGATTACAGGCGTCAGCCACCGCGCCGGGCCCCAAGATGTTTTAATGGTTCCCAAACACTGATCTTTTAGAATCACGGTCAGGGAGGGGTATGGGCCCCATTCTGGAAATTCCAATTTGGTGGCAAGAATGACAGGTTGGAGGTGAATTCCAAATATCCATTTTTTTTTTTTAAGCTCCCAGGTGATTTTGATGATTGGCCAGGTTTGGGATCCACTGATTTAGTCCAAATTCTTTACTTTGCACAAGGGGAATAGAAGCCTAGACAGGAGGAGACTCGGTCACACTCAGCTGCCTAATTTGTGGTAAAATCAGGACTGGAGCCCACAGCTCCTAACTTGAGCCCAGTGCTCTTGGCGACCGTGCCATGCTGCCTTTTCAAACTAATTGCTATTGTCCATCTCTGGGGATAGTGGTTCTAACTGAAGCATCTACAGGCCATGCATATGGCTCCAGGGATAAGACTGCAGGAAGAAGGAGGCTGGCCACGTAGGGTGGTTCTGCAAGTGGCTTGAACCTTTCTTTAGAGCAATCCCATCATATGCTCATGCTTGTGGCCGTGACCCTGCATCTAACCCTCAGCCTCCTACTTCTTGTTGATGCCTGTACCCCTGCCACTGAGCATTCAAATATCAGCTAACTCATCTCTTCCAGTCTCCAGAATAGGACACTATATTTGCAGAATCATTAAGTCCTCTATAGGAACTTTCAAACTTTGTGTTTTCACTTCCATGACAATCTAACAAGAGTAGTGGATGATTCTGCATAAATGAGTATTGCCATGTGCTTTCAGATACCATGCTAGATTTTATGTTGATAATTACATAAGTACCAAGTACAATTACTTTAACTGAGGGAGCATATTAGAGCCAAGAGGTGAGACAGTGAGTTTTCACATGGCCATAGACTTTTAGAATTAAAAACTTCACAACGACCTGTGAAGCAGCAGCCAGAGCCATCATCATTTTGTGACTGAGGATTTGGTTTTGGAAAAGCAACATCATTCACCACGTTAAATTAATGAAGCTTATTCTTTGGTTTTTGGTTATATATAATTGACTAACATTAACATAAATAATTTAAGCAACTATTGAAAATCCACAAAAATCTTCTTAAAGTGGGTGTCCGTGTTACTCTGGCTGGAGAAGTACCACGTGGGGGAAAGACAGACACCTGCTCCAGGGAGTGCAGTGCTCGTGGGCTTCCCCCTACTCCTTGTTTGCCTTCCTAACTTGTTAGTGGACTCTGGGAAGGGTGTGTACGGGAGGTAATTTGGTAAGAGACAACTTTTGCATACCTCATCTGCACCGTGGAGCGGGCCTGTGTTCTTTCCTTTACATAGGTTTGGTTATAGGGACATTTCAGAGATTAGTAGTAGTAGAAAAAAAAATAAAAGAATCAGGCACTGAACACCACACACACACAAAACCAAACTAGTTATGATGAAACTAAAAAGGAGGCCAGGTAGTCACTGAGCCTCTTTATAGTAGCTCCAGGTTTCTGTGTGGGTCTTGTAGCTCTGTCTGTGCTCATATGGTTTTGAAAACTGTCTTCGGATGACCCTACCGCTCTCACTAAGGAGGTAGGAAAGAGAGACAGGGATTCCTCTTGTTACTCCCAGTTTTCTCATGGATTTGAAATTTGACTCCAAACCCCAATACACATGTTTGGGGCCCTGCTATACCAGTCCAGAACCCCCGGCTGGACTTCACTGTTGATTGCTTTCAGTGTGACTGCCAGGTCTGCCCTGACACCTGTGGTCCCCAACGCTTACCTAAACCCACTATTTCCTGCTAAAGGAAACTGCCCCAGTTTTTTTGTCTGTCCCCAGAGGGGACCATCCCTTGTTGCCCATGACTGATCTTTTCAGGCAGCAGGTCATTTGGAAAAAAGCTTTTGATGAGACGGCATCTCTCCCAATCTCACCTGAGTTTTGTGAGCTATAGGAATCCCAATGGAATATTTCACAGGGTCTATGGCAAGCCCCTTCTTCTTCCAGTAATTCTTTTTGTTAAATTCCTCTGCAGCCAGTCTCCTAGCATAGAACGAAGGTTTCTCCAGGCATTCTTTCCAGCGTCTTCGCAAGGGCTTTGGATTAAATGTCTGCTTAAAGGCTGTTATGCTAATTCTCTTATACATGTTTATTTCTCTAACCTGAAAGATGAGAAAACAAAATGGATATTAGGGATAGATGCTTGTTTCACAGTGCAGTATGTGTTTTTGTTATATGCCTGATATGCAGGTAGTCTTCTACTTAAATGGCTGTAAATATGCAAGTACAAGCGTACTTGTATAACCATAAGAATAATAATAATAACAGTAGAAGCTACTCTTGAACATTCCGTATGCACCAGGCCCTAGTCTAAGTGTATTATCTAGTTAACATCACAATCACCCTGAGAGACAGTCGGTTCCAACTGTTGTGAACTCTGTCACAAGTGGTGAGACAAAATTCTCCTGATCAAAAATCCTTTTACTCCCACACAATGGTGCTTTATTCTTAATGGTTCTCAAATTAGCTCCTCAAAGTCTTGAATTTTGGTAAAATATCTGCACAAATGGCCATAACCATTCTGTGCTCTCTGTCCCCTGGGTGGCTTCACACTGATTCTAGAGCATGGCTTGCTCTAGCCAATGGGACAGTAAGTGTCTGAGATGGACAGAGACTTAAGTGCTGGTACACCAGGGTTTGCCACATTCTTGCTGTTCTTGGCAGCTCTGTGACCACCACAAGAACAAATCTGGGCTTGCATACTGTAGGGCGAGAGACTCTGTGGAGTGGAGATGTGCCTTCTTGGCTGAGGCATCCTAGACAAACCAGCATGTGACCACCAGACGTGTCAGTGACGCTACCTTGACCATGAAGCTCCAGTTGTGCTGGCCCAGACTAGAAGAGCTACCCAGCTGACCCACAGAATCATACAAAATACTGTTGTTTTTAGACACTAAGTTTTGTGGTTGACCTACCACATAGCAAAAGCTAACTGATACACAGATGATGTGCTTTATTTTTTTTTTGAATCCACATAGAGGCTGATATAATGCATATGTAGGTATTTAAGATATATTGAAACCAATTATCTCAGCATTTTATTAGGGGATTATGACTTAGCACCTCTTCAGAGGGTAAGTTGCATTGAGATGCCACAGCAGTTATGTAGGCTTCGACTACCGCCATACCCTCAGGAAAGCCAAATCCTCAAAAGGCTGTGTTGGATGGCAAATTTGTTTTGCAAGCCCTACCCCAGCATTGGAAATTAGGAATATGGTATGCATTTTCAGATTTCAGCACAATGAACTCTACCATCTGAGTTGAAGCAAAACAAAGTGAAATTTCACATAGGGCAAATATTCAAAACCACTTATCTGAATTTTATCTCTAACTTGAACCCATCACAGAAGTTATCTGATTTGTAAGACAAATCTTTATGCAAATAAAGGGTAGCACATACAGCTCAACTGGTAACCTATGGGAAAGGCATGTTTCTCACCCTCTCGGACTCATCAGGAGTGTACCCAACATTGACGTAATATTTGACATCAGCAGCTTTCATTACATCATTGTTCATGAATCAAATCTGCAAAGTGATAGCAAGTAAGGCAATTTTCTCAATAGTCCTTCTTTGCAATGAAATCATGCTGTACACAAACACATCTTGTCACAGTTGTCAATGCATACTTAGCTTATATTGGATGTGACAGTAACCAGAGGAATATCAGTGATGGTGCCCAAGTTGAACATGATACCAATAGAAAGTTCTGAGTGGTTTTAGGCAGTGTCTAAATATCCCTTTCAAGTGGTGTGGGATGTAGTAATTGTCTTTACTATTGGTTGGTTAACACTGAACAATGTCTTAGGCAGTTTGCCAAACTTCTTGCTTTTACCTACTTTGTATTTTCCGAGGAGTGGGTGGCAGCCAGCAGTTATCAGCATGTCATCACCACAATCTAGGATAAACCGGATTGGATGGCCAGTTCTATAGGAAATGACTGTTAATATGCTGAATGCTTCATAAAGTTGTGGAAACATAGAGATGGGGAAGGAGGACTTGAGATAATCTAGCTTACTGGTTTTCAGTGAGGGTAGTAACATTCCTTTCTTTTTCCTTAGACAAACTCCTTGGAAGTGTGTGTGGGATTAATATTCTTTAAAAAAGAACATAATCATTCTGGTTCAGTCATGTCTGAGAACTTATATATTGCAATGATACATTATTTCTTTTCTATATTACATTAAGGAATTGTATTATTTTGCAGTTATGTATATAAGTAGGTTTTATTGTTGTGAATTTCACTTTGAGATAGTTAAGAGAGCATTAAAATATATAGTTGGTGCAACAGTAATTGAGATTTTAAATATTTGCCTTAAAGGGGATATTGAGGCTGAAAGGGTTGAGCTCCCATGCTCCATTGAGCATAACCTTCCTTGCATTCAAACTCCCTTTCATAAAATGTCCATCAAGGACCTCTCTGGTTTCTGATGGAATGTTCCCAGTGCCTGCAAACCTGCAGTTTATGGGACAGTCTTTCCTATTGTTGGAAAGTGCCAATGAGCTAAGATGTTCGTGGTTTTTCTTTTCATAGAAGTAGCCTGGGATAAGTTAGTTTGAATAAGTGAGATTTTGTAGTTACCAAGTTCACAAAAGTCATGGCTATTCCAGTGTTTGGGTATTCCAACTGGATGGCACAGAAGCTAAGTCAACATTCCCAGGTGATGGCAGAGCCCCTGCTTTGTTTCATGACAAAATGTGTCTCTTTTGGGGATGGGGTTTGACCTCCCTTCCACATGGCCAATCTCAGCTGTGTTGAAAGGTGAGATGAAAACTGGGGTGCTGGGCTGAAAGAACACAGGTGGCATCAACGCTACTTGGACTGCTAATGATGCCACTGTGACTCTTACTTGTTGGCGGCCACATCACTGACAGCTCCTAGCAGAGCCGGCTTGGTCACGTTCCCTCCAAACGCTCCTCTGGCTCTTTTCATGTGGAAGGCGATTCTACTCTTCGGGATGTTCAGTGCTGTAGTCACACATTCCTCCTGCAAGATGTAAGTTCCCAAAGCTATGTAAGTGCAATTTAATAGTTAACTTTCTCCTCCATGTACTTCCCCTCTGTCCAGTAAAAGAAAACTAGTAATTCAACAAAGGCTTATACTTACAGAATTGTGTAACCATCACCATAATCTAATTCTAGAACATTTTTCAGCATCTGCAAAGAAACTTTGTATCCATTAAGCGCTTGCTCCCCATCTTCCCAAACCCCCCTGCACTGGGCAACCATTAATCTACTTTCTGTCTGTATAGATTTGCCTGTTATGGACATTTCATGTCAGTGGAATCATACACTATGTGGTCTTTTGTGACTGGCTTCTTTCCCTTAGCATAATGTTTTCAAGGCTCATCTATGCTGTAGCATGTGTTGGTACTTGATTCCTTTTTTTTTTTTTTTTAGTTCAGAGCCATTAACTTTTTTAGAAGAAGAATAATACTAAAACTTGGCAATGACAGAGACAATCAACTTTGTAACAGAAAGTCAGAGATACTTTATTTTTACTTCTAAATCCAAGGCTAAGTATAGTAGAGTTGTAAAAATGAAATCCCACTTAGTCTGATTCACACAAATACTAACGTTTAATCCTGTTTTCAAAGTCCAAGAATAAAAACTTGCAATTAAACACTAAGCAAGCCACATGTTTAGGTAAAATTTCTTAAAAAGTCTTAAAAATATATGATACAGGACCTAAGTTTTCAGGGCATACATATTATTAACATATGTTCTGAAATCTGGTGGGTTACATCAGTTCTGAATTAATTTTTAATAATAACAATTACAAATAACTAACTGAGCTTTATACTTTTTCTATGCCACGATAGCTTTCTTTCGCCTCATTTTTTAAATGTCAATCTTCACTTTATGCTATTTTCAGTATTCTTCCAAAAACCTTTGAACAGTAGTCCTCTGTCTGATCTGAGATCTTATCAGATCTGTTTTAATTGAACTGAGTGTCATCTTCAGATTTAATGTCTTCAATGGCCCGATTGGCCTCATTCTTAGTATCACTTTCCTTTGATTCAGTGTTTGTGTCATCACTCTGTTTTTCTCAACTACCAGACTTCACACTACTTTTTATTAATCACCACATCCTCTTTCTCCTTGGATTTTCTATCTTGTTCTCTGTCCCAACTTTTGCTCCTGTGCTTATATGACTTTCAATTTTGGCTTTTTGATCTTTGATCCTGAATTAGAGATTTATGTTTTCTTTCTGATCAATCATGGCTTCTGCTTCTTCATTGATCTCTACTTCTGCTTCATCTTCTTTCTCTACTTCGTGATCTTTTGTGGTCCTGAGACCTGCTGCATCTTCAATCTGAAGTTTGGCTTGAGTGCTGTATTATTTTGTTCTCACACTGCTAATAAATTACCCTACACAGGGTAATTTATAAAGGAAAGAGGTTTAATTGACTCACAGTTCCACACGACTAGGGAGGCCTCACAATCATGGCGGAAGGAAAAGGTGAAACGAGGTCGTGTCTTACATGGCGGCAGGCAAGAGAGCTCGTACAGGGGAACTACCATTTATAAGACCAACAGACCTTGAGAAACTTATTAACTACCACAGGGACAGTATGGGTAAACTGCCCCCATGATTCAATTATCTCCACCTGGCCCTGCCCTTGACATGTGAAGATTATTACAATTCCATGTGAGATTTAAGTGGGGACATAGCCAAACCATATTAAGTGCCTATTTCATGAACAACTTCTTTTTATTCTTTCTCTGTTATGAGCCCTTTCTTTTTCTCTTTCTTTCTCTTCCCTTAATCTTTTCCTTTCTCCTTCACTTCCTCTTTCATGTTCTTTTTCTCTTTTCTTTCTTGCTTCTCCCTTTTTAGACAGTCATCATGATCAGATTCTTGAGTTCTTTTTCTTAATGTTTCTTTTAATTCTTCTACAGTAGTTTTAATGTTGGCATATCCCATGTGTTGTTTTCCCAACAAACGGTCATCTACCTGGGACTGGGCATCTCCTACTATCAAAAAGGCTCCACACACTTCACCAACTTCCATTTTTTTTGTATGTGTTCAGCAAAACTTTCAATTTTCAAGGTTGTGGATCCAGGCAATTCTCTCTCGTCTTTTAATTGTTCAACTAATTTCATCATCCACTGGGCTTCTACTACTTTTCCTTCTACCCCTAATTCTTCAGTCTGTTGCAGAAGCACATCAATGTTGTCTGTTAGAACCTGAATTTTTGCTTCATTTTTGCCTGTTGGGCCAGCCGCCCAAGAAGACTGCTGGCTTTGAGATGCCAAACGAGCATGGCCTTATCTGATTCTACGTTCTACTTTTGCAAGTAAGCTCTGTAATTATGGAAAAAAAAAAAACCTCTCTCATAGCCAACTTTCATAAAACAAGAGCTCTTCTTACACTGCTTTTGTAGGTTTTCAGTATGAGTTTTTTTCACATGGACCAAGATCAGAATGTGTATTTGTGAACAATTCTGCAGACAAAAACCGCAGAGAAAATATTTATAAATGCTCTTGTGGTCCTACCACATGTTGCTGCGCTTCTTGTCTGGGGCGAGGTTTCCGTCCCAGCCCATTAACTCATCCAACAACTGTGTGGCCGAAACCACAGTGCTTCCTTTGGGCAGTTTCTCCCACCAGCCCAGCCACTTGCCAACAAAAATGCTGGCAACACTGTTGCCAACCTCCTCAGCCTGTTCTCAGGTTGAATAGCCTCCTTTACACAGGAGCCAACAAGACAAAATTTCCATTCTTTTTTATGGCTAAATAATATTCCACTGTATGGGCATACCACATTTTGTTTGTCCATTCATCAGCTGGACATTGGGTTGTTTCTACTTTTGGTTTTTATGAGTAATGCTGCTATGAACATTTGTTCATAAGTTTTTTTTGTAGACATATGTTTTCATTTATCTTGGGTAGATATTTAGTTGCAGAATTGCCGAGTTATATGTTCAGTTTATGTTTAACATCCTGAGAAACCACCAAACTACTTTTCAAAGTGGCTATGCCATTTTTCATGCCCATCCACAATGTATGAATGTTCCAGTTTCTCTACATCCTTGTCAACACTTGTTACTGTCTGTCTTTTTGATTATAGACATTCTAGTGGGTGGGAAATGTTATTTAGTTGTGATTTTGACTTGCGTTTCCCTAATGACCAATGATGCTGAGCATTTTTTTCATGTGCTTATTGTTCATTCATATATTTTCTTTGGAGAAATGTCTACTCAAGTCCTTTACCGGGACTGCTTTTGATGGTACCTTAGCTACTGGACTATGGCAGGCTGTGGGTATCCAGTGCCCTGGTTACTCCCAAGGAAATATCTGCTGTTGTGGTGCTGACTGTGACCCAGGATATGTTAATAGGAGGTGGCAATGGTGACTTTAGTACATACATGTTGTTCATTGGAACTCAGAGTCACATACCCCCTGCTAAAAGGGACCTCAGGGGTGATCTTTGCCATCTTCCACAATTTACAGAAAAGGATATAGATGCCCAGTGACTTGCAGGAGATCACACAGCTGCTTTGGAGTGAAGCCTGTATCTCCTGTGGTTACCTGCATGTAGTTTGGATACTGTGTTCTAAGGTGTAACGCCATTTCTTTATCTTCTTCTTTTGGGAGAGCCAGGATAGATAATGTTTCCATGTTAAAATGTTCCTGTCCTTCCACATGGACCTCATCTGTAAAGCACAAACACAAGACAATGTTTAATCACAAGTTCCGATGTGGGAGCTCTTGGTGGTGTTTTGCTTATAAAGAGTGAGTTGCTTTAGCTTATGGAGAGCTGGACTTTAAAAAAAAAAAAAAAAAAAAAACTACAGAAAAAGTTTTTCATATGCATATGGGAGGAGCTCAGAAATGAATGGACAATCCCAAAGAGGTGATTAGATCATTAGACCCAGAAGCATGTATACTATTTTTTCAAAGGACAGCACATTTGTGGAGAAGTGAGAAGACAAGGGAAATGAGTTTTGAGTTTCTGGGGGTGGTAAATTGTGGAGAGATAAATATATAGGGGAAACAATGGGAGGATAAAGGTTATTTTAGTAAGGTTTGTGATGAGGATTTCTCTCAGTGCCACCTGATAAGACTGTGGAGTTGTCGCTCATTCTGCCCATCCTGGTACAAGAGAGGGTCCAGGAAACACCTTCACAAAGGGACATTGATACCCTACTTTTAGGTCAATAGGAGGAGGGTAGATAACTTTTTTCTGTATCTGCTGCTTTTCAATTGCCTTCAGCTCAAAATAATCCTTATGTTAAAGTGGCATATTTTAAACCCAAATTTATTTACGTAACAATTAGATGGTGTTGACAATATACTAGGTATTCTTCTAAGGCTTAGCAGTTTGTAGACAATTAATTCACTTAATCCTTGCATCAATCCTATGAGGGATGTATCATTACCTCCATCTTGCCAGATGGGGAAGTTGAGACATAGAAAGGTGAAGTAAGCTCCCTAAAGTGACACACATAGTAAGCGACGGAGCTGGGATGCAAACCTAGGCAGCCTGACTGACTCACGTTCCGAACCACGACTTCACACTTCTCCATGTTGGCATGCTGTGTGACTCTCAGTCATTCCTGCCAAAATTCCTTTCATGTTTCAAATTTCCTACTTGTGCCTAAATTCTGAGCTCCCACAATTTCCCAAATCCCAAATGGCAAAGGTTCCAAATGGTACTCTGTCAATCTGCTGCCCTCTGGGTGAGAAAAATAATTTAAAAAATATATACCATGGTGCTTAAGGCATTAAGAGCTAGGGCCTTGGGATCAGCCAGTCCTGGTTCTACTGATAACTGAACATGGGACATCAGCCAATTATCTAACTTTTATAAGACTCAGTTTCCTCATTTTGAAAAATGAAGCTACTGATATATTCCTTCTCAGAGTTGTTCTGCTTGCATGTTAAATAGTAAGCAGTAAATAGTAGCTTAAAATAAGTTTAATAATAATACTATTATTATTGGGATTGTTATTAAGATTGTTATTGGGATTAAATAATATAATACATGTAAAATGCTTAGCATGGCATCTGGCACAGTAAGCACTTGATAAGTGTTAGCTGATGTTATTATTATTATTAAATAATCTTTGACCCAAATTTATGGTTTTTCTAAAATATCATTTAATTTTTAAAATAAAATGCTGTGGAATAATGAATGTTTGGTATAAGTAGTAGCCACTGTCAAACATCTGGACATCTCTCATGAGATTACTGGTTGTGTCCAGCTATTCTTACAAGATAGTACATTGTTTTTATAACCAGGAGGCAGTCTACATTTTCTGCTTAAACAGAATGATGTTAGGAAATATGTATTCTAAGGGTCTCTCTCACGTTTTAATAAAAGCTAAAAGCTTACACTACTTGCCATTCTAGTCACTTAGAAGAATGTAATAGATCCTATGAAAATTACTCTTTTTTCTTACCAAAGACCAGGAGTGATTCTCTTAGTAAAGACAGCTGTGGTTATCTGGCCACACATTAGAATCCCCTGGGGGAGCTTTTAAAAAAATATTAATGCCCTTTTTCCATTTTCCAAGATTCTAATTTGACTGGTCTAAGGTGGGACCTAGATATTGTGTGTGTGTGTGTGTGTGTGTGTGTGTGTGTGTGTGTGTGTGTTTTGAGATGGAATTTCGCTCTTGTCGCCCAGGCTGGAGTGCTGTGGTGTGATCTCAGCTCACTGCAACCTCCACCTCTTGGGTTCAAGTGATTCTCCTGCATCAGCCTCCCAAGCAGCTGGGATTACGGGGCCTGGCTATTTTTTGTATTTTTAGTAGAGATGGGGTTTCACCATGTTGGCCAAACTGGTCTCAAACTCCTGACCTCAGGTGATTCACCTGCCTTGGCCTCCCAAAGTGCTGGGATTATAGGTGTGAGCCACCTTGCCTGGCCAATATTGGTATTTTTAAAAATATTTAAAAATCTTTTTATGGCTATATAGTATTCCATGGTGTATATGTACTACATTTTCTTTATCCAGTCTATTATTGATGGGCATTTGGTTTGATTCCATGTCTGTGCTATTGTGAATAGTGCTGCAATAAACATGCATGTGCATGTATCTTTATAACAGAGTGATTTGTATTCCTCTGGGTATATACCCAGCAATGGGATTGCTGGGTCAAATGGCATTTTTGGTTCTAGATCTTTGAGGAATCACCACACTGTCTTCTACAATGGTAGAACTAATTTACATTCCCACCAACAGTGTAAAAGTGTTCCTATTTCTCTGCAGCCTTGCCAGCATCCGCTGTTTCTTGAATTTGTAATAAAGGGCATTCTGACTGGCATGAGATGGTATCTCATTGTGGTTTTGATTTGCATTTCTCTAATGATCAGTGATGTTGAGCTTTCTTTCATCTGGTTGTTGGCTGCATAAATGTCTTCTTTTGAGAAGTGTCTGTTTATGTCCTTTGCCCACTTTTTAATGAGCCATGTCCTTCGCAGGGACATGGATGAAGCTGGAAGCCATTATTCTCTGCTAACACTAACGCAGGAACAGAAAACCAAACACCACATGTTCTCACTTATAAGTGGGAGCTGAACAATGAGAACACATGGACATAGGGAGGTGAATAACACACACTGGGGTCTGTTGGTCGGGGGGTAGGGAGACTGGAGGAGGGGGAGGGAGAGAATCAGAAAGAAGAGCTAATGCATGTTGGGCTTAATACTTAGGTGATGGGTTGATAGGTGCAGCAAACTACCATGGCGCATGTTTACCTATGTAACACACTTGCATATCCTGTACATGTACCCTAGAATGTAAATAAAATTAAAATACGTGCACACACACACAAACCTTGGAACTTAAAAAAATCTTAGCCAGGGCATTAGGTCTAAGCATATCAACAAACAAATAATAGTGTCAGGATTGGAAAAGATAAATAAAACTGTCATATGACTGTGTACATTGAAAATTCAAGAGAATCTCTAAGTCTATTAAAATAGTAAATGAATTTAGCAAAATTGCTGGATATAAGATCAACATACAAAAATTAACTGCATTCTTATATACTAGACATGCAAGCAGAAAGTTAAATAAAAGAACCATAGTATCAAAATGCATAAAATATGAGGAATAAATATTAAAAAGGATGTGCAAGATCTCTATAGTGAAAATCAAAAATTACTGAGAGAAGTTAAAGAAAACCTAGATAAAAGGTGATGTCTACCATGCTTATGGATTAGAAGACAAAATATTGTTAAGATTTCAGTTCTCTCAAATTGATATATTGTTTCAATGCAATCCCAATCAAAATCCCAACAAATTACTTTTGGCAGAATTTATGAACTAATGATAAGCTTATCTGGAAATGCAAAGGACCTATAATAGTTAAGGGCATATTGAAGCAGCAGCAGCCAAAGTACCTTAAATTGTCAGATTTTAAGACTCACTACAAAGTTACAGTAAGTGAGACACTGGTATTAGCACAAAGATAGGTAAACAGACAAACAGAATATGATAGAGAACTCAGAAATAGAACAACACATAGGTAGACATCTGGAAAACAACAAAAGCTGCACAGCAATTCAGTAAGGGAAAGGAGAGTCTTCAATAAATGATGCTGGGTCAATTGAATATCCACATGAAAAAAATGGAACATTGACTCCTATCTCGCATCACATAGAAAAATTAATTTGAGATGAATCATAGACCTAAGTGCAAAAGCTAAGACAATCAAGGTCCTAGGAGAAAACATAAGAGAATATTTTAATGACCTTTGGACAGGCAAACATTTCTTCAATGAGCACAAAATCATTAACTATAAATAAAAGACTGATAAATTGATCTTCATTAAAGTGAAGAAATTGGGCCAGGAGCAGTGGCTTACGCCTGTAATCCCAGCACTCTGGGAGACTGTGGCGGGCAGATCACCTAAGGTCAGGAGTTGGAGACCAGCTTGGCCAAATGGTGAAACCCTGTCTCCACTAAAACTACAATAATTAGCTGAGCGTTGTGGTGCACGCTTGTAATCCCAGCTACTAGGGAGGCTGAGGCAGGAGAATCGCTTGAACCTGGGAGGTGGAGGTTGCAGTGAGCCGAGACCACCCCATTGTACTCCAGCCTGGGCAACAAGAGCAAACTCCATCCCAAGAATAAAGGAAGAAAATGGCTGGGCATGGTGGCTCACACTGTAATCCCAGCACTTTGAGAGGCTAAGGCAGGTGGATTGTTTGAGCCCAGGTGTTTGAGACCAGCCTAGGCAACATGACAAAACCCCATCTCTACAAAAATTACAAAGATTAGCTGGGCATCATGGTGCATGCTTGCAGTCCCAGCTACTCAGGAGGCTGAGGTGGGAGGACTGATTGAGCCCAAGAGGTTGAGGCTTCAATGGGCTGAGAATGCGCCACTGGATTCCAGCCTGGGCAACAGAGTAAGACCCTGTCACAAAAAAGACAGAAAGAAAAGAAAAAGAAAAAAAAAATTGTTTATGAAAAGGCACCGCTAAGAAAGTGAAAAGGCACAGCTGAGAGAAGGTATTTGCAATAACCATAACCAATCAAAAATATATTAAAAATCTCCTCTAAATTAATTATATCATTAATTGTATTAAAATTAATTATATATTATTATAATGCCATAAACCACAAGGAGATATCACTCCACACCCATCAGATCAGATAAAACTGGAAAGGCTGATGACAACCTAGAAGTCTTTTGTTTGCTAATAGGAGTATAAATTGTTACAAGTTTTATTATTATTATTATTATTACTATTGAGACAGAGTTTCGCTCTTGTTACCCAGGCTGGAGTGCAATGGCGCAATCTCGGCTCACTGCAACCTCCGCCTCCTGGGTTCAGGCAATTCTCCTGCCTCAGCCTCCTGAGTCGCTGGGATTACAGGCACGCGCCACCATGACCAGCTGATTTTTTTGTATTTTTAGTAGAGACGGGGTTTCACCATGTTGACCAGGATGGTCTCGATCTCTTGACCTCGTGATCCACCCGCCTCAGCCTATTTTTTTTTTTTTTTTTTTTTGAGACGGAGTTTCGCTCTTGTTACCCAGGCTGGAGTGCAATGGCGCAATCTCGGCTCACTGCAACCTCCGCCTCCTGGGTTCAGGCAATTCTCCTGCCTCAGCCTCCTGAGTCGCTGGGATTACAGGCACGCGCCACCATGACCAGCTGATTTTTTTGTATTTTTAGTAGAGACGGGGTTTCACCATGTTGACCAGGATGGTCTCGATCTCTTGACCTCGTGATCCACCCGCCTCAGCCTCCCACAGTGCTGGGATTACAGGCTTGAGCCACCGCGCCCGGCCACGAGCCTATTTTTTTCTAATGCTTGAAAAACTACTAAGGGTAAACATAAAAATATGCTATTATTCAGCAATTTCATTCCTGAATACATTCCATTAGAAATAAGTGCTATGTTCACCAAAATATAAGCATAACAATGTTTATAGAAATTTTATTCATAATGCCTCCAAATTAAAAACAACTCCAATATCCTGAATGATAGAATTAATAAATAAATTGGTAAAATATTTTCATAACAGAATACTACCAATGGAAAAAAACGAATGTATGCAACAACATACATGAATCTTTCATACATAATGTTAAATAAAGGCAGAAGGCATTACAGAGGTTATACTATAAGATTCCATTTATATGAAGTTCAAATGAGGTAAAACTAATTTACAGTGATAAATATTAGAATAACATCTTGGGGGGTTACTAAGAGAGATACATGGGAGCATGCTGGGGGTACAGAAATTTTCTGTTTTTAAAAAATTTTTTAACTTTTTATTTTTGGAGAAAGAGTCTCATTCTGTTATCCAGGCTGGAGTGCAGTGGCATAATTTTGGCTCACTGTAACCTCTACCTCCCCCTCAGCCTCCTTGGTAGCTGGGACTAGAGGCTTGTGCCACCATGCCTGGCTAATTTTTGTTTTTTAGTAGAGATGAGATTTCACCATGTTGGCCAGGCTGGTCTTGAACTCCTGACCTCAAGGGATCTGCCTGCTTTGGCCTCTCAAAGTGCTGGGATTACACCACACCTGGCCATGTTCTATGTCTTGATGTTGGTAGTATTTACATACATTTATACGTATATAAAAATTTACCAAGCTGTAAATTTCTTGTGCACTTTATTTATTTATTTAGAGACGGAGCCTCGCTCTGTCGCCTAGGCTGGAGTGCAGTGGCGTGATCTCGGCTCACTGCAACCTCTGCCTCCCGAGTTCAAGCAATTCTCCTGCCCTCAGCCTCCTGTGTAGTGGGACTACAGTTGCACACTACCACGCCCAACTGATTTTTGTATTTTTAGTAGAGATGGGGTTTCACTGTGTTGGCCAGGATGGTCTCAATCTCTTGACCTCGTGATCTGCCTGCCTCAGCCTCCCAAAGTGCTAGGATTACAGGCGTGAGCCACTGCGCCCGGCCTCTTGTGCACTTTAAATAATTGTTTAAAAATCACAGTTGAATAGAGAAATACTGCTTTAGAGTTTCAGTAGTTTTCAATCCAGGTGATTGAAATCAGAGACTTCAACTTCAGGTGCTTCCCTTTTCTGGCTAAGACTACTTACCTTCAATGATTTGGGCGACATATTTAAAGTCTTGCTCTACATTTCCTTGCTCAATTTTTTTCTCAACAACAAGAAATGAATTGTGCTCTAGGGTTTGCTGTAGTGGAAAAACAAACCGAAACAACCCTAAAAGATTTTTTTTTTTTTTTTTGCATTCTAGTAAACCATTTGTTTCCCATCAAAATTCCATGCTGCATGTTCCTACTGTATCAGATCTTCAACACACCAAGAAAATCAGAGCCAGGGCAGCATGAGTCAGCAGAAAGTGGATTCAAATTGATTTTAGGCATTGGTGCCTCATTTTGTTCAGTGCTCTGGGGAAGGGCTGACAGGGACACAAGGGTATATAAACATGTTTCCCACCTCTCCATTGCCGAGTGACGATCTAAGGCAGTTTGGCAGTTAGGTGTTGACTCTGGGGTAAGGGGGTTACTCAGGAGTAAAGAGAGGTCACGAAGGAGGGGGCTGATGGGGCCCGGAATGCTCAGGAATGGCCTTGAATTGGTGACTTGAGTTGGATCCTGAATCATTTGAAGTCAAAGGCACATCGTAAAACAATAGTTTGAAGTTGAAACAAGCTGAGGGGCCAAAATGAGCACAAGGCCAGACTGGGTATAGGTTTTCTATGAAGAAACAGTGGAAGATAAGTTTTGAAAGGTTGATTGTGGCTGGACTATTAATTACCTTGATTTGCTGCTAAAGAGTTTGGACCTTATCTGAGGGCACAGTATTAAATAGGAAAAGTGACCTGATGAACTTAGTGACTTAGGAAAGTTAATATGTTAGGTAGATGGGCTGAAATGGAAGACAAGAGCCTCTTTTAGTGGTTTTTGTGGTAAATCTGAAAAGAAGATGGTGAAGACTAGGCTGGAGAGTGGAGTGAAAATGAGAATGAAAAGAAAGGGGCAGCCTTAAGGGACATTTAAAGGAAAACTGGAAAAGAACTTGGCGACTGTTGGGAAGAACAGGGAAGAATTGAAGTGGTTGCTCAAGACTGAATCTACTTGGTGGGGGGCGGGGGTGGTGTCCATATTGCTTATGCATCCATCTATCCATCTATTCCTCCCTCCCTCAGTCATCCAACATATGTTTATTGAGCATCTACCATGGGTTTAGAGCTTTGCTAGGCTCTGGGGATATAAAGTACAAGAGCATACAACATGTCCTTGCCCTCATTAATAACAACTAAAACAAAAATGATAGGTAATGTTTATTGAATGCATTCCCTGTGCCAGATGCTATTGTAAACATTTTACTTGGATTCTCTCATTTAAACCTACCATGACCTTTTGGTGTAGGTACTTTTAGAGTTCCCATTTTACAGATGGAAAAGCTGAGGTATGAGGAGTTTAAAGCTTTTGCTGCTATTAAGAGGCTACTAACAGCAGAATCAGATGATGAATCCAAGTAGTCTGTCTCCAGAGCCTGTGCTTAAGCAGTAAGTGGGCAGGTAGACAGAGGACCTAATAGTTGTAATAAATAAATGTTACAATTTTTCCTAATTCTACAGTGCTCTAGATATTCCCGCTGACTACTTTTGTATATGAGGTTATAAGGACATTTCTTGGTTGTTGCTTACTGCATTCTTAACCCATGCCTTAGCAAGAGGCCGCAGGAGAAGTAGGCGCAGAATGCTTCATTTCCACAGATCCCTATAGAAGCAATGGTGGGAAGGAGAAGTCTAAGCAGGAAAGGGGTCAGTTTCTGTCTTGAAGGGCAAATTGCTGGAGCTTTCACTCTAAAACTACAGGTAACACTAAGCAAAGTATAGATGGAACCCAACTTATAATGTTTTATGATTCCATGGGTGGAACTGTGCCCTAAGTCCACCACTCTAGGCATTCTAGAAGACACAAAGTGGTCTGACTACCTCTATTGTGATAATCCTTGGCTCTATGTCTTCATAAGCAATCTTCACTTTCTTAGCAGCCTCTCTTGCATGAGCATAGGTATCATCGGCCACAATGCTGACGATCTGGCCCATGCAAATTACCTGCAGAAAAGCCACATGTTGTAATTAGCAAAAACACAGACTCATTAAAAAGGAATTACTGTTCCCACATTTTTACCTACTGGGTTTTTATGACCAAAAGCAACATTATTTTCTACCTATGAGAATAAATTTACAACAGTGGTTTGAGTGAGATTTAGGGGGCACAAAAGTTGAAAGTAGAACTGAATTATCTGGCTTTAATTATCTGTCTTCTGATTGTCCTTGGCCACACGACTCGTCATTCCTACCGCATGCACAGTCATCCAATTAACCTAGCATTCTGCTGGCTCTTTCAAGGTCCTATGATCTGTATTGCTTTTATGGCTTTCATGACTTTAGAGAAGTATTCTTTGAGGACTTATGGCTTTTATCAGAATCTCAAAGAGTCCACAGTTTAAGAGAGAAGTTGAGAATAACTGAGGCAGAGTCATTGGTTTTCAGCAAGTCTTTGTGATGTGAATATGGATTTATGGATGGCTACAGGCATTGCCAATAATCATTTTGTCATCTCCAGCAAGGTATTTGACTAATAAGCCACACGTAAATCACCCACCTCATTCTGTGCACAGAAAACCTCTCCTTGATACTTATTATCTCCTGGAACATTCTCTGCTGTTATCACATCAACACCACCTGGAAGTGCCAGGGCTTCTGAGATATCAATTGATCTAGGGGAGAAAATGTGAAGGTAGATATTAAAGTTACAGGGGCAAGTTCCTAGTGATTTCTCAAACACAGGGAAAATGATAATGGACCTCATAACTAAATCGTGGAGTAATACTCTACGTTCAAAAATGCCAGTATTTAGCAGGTGTTCTAACTCTATGTTCAAAAATGCCAGTATTTAGCAGATGTTCTAACTCTTTCATAACCTTGGATCTTTTGACAACTATGCTTAAAAAATGATTAATTCTCAATGAGAAAAATAAATGCATATTCTTTTTTTTTTTTGGTGAGACAGGGTCTCATTCTGTTGCCCAGGCTAGAGTGCAGTGGCGCGATCACAGCTTACTGCAGCCTTGACCTCCTGGACTCAGGTAATTCTCCCACTGAAGCCTCCCCAGTAGCTAGGACTTCAGGCACTTGCCACCATGCCTGGCTAATTATTTTGTATTTTTTGTAGAGATGGAGTTTTGCTATGTTGACCATGCCGATCTCCAACTACTGAGCTCCAGGGATCTGCCTGTCTTGGCCTTGGATTACAAGTGTAAGCCACTATGCCAGAAATTAATATTCTTGTTTGATTTAAATATATAATAAGCTCTTGATTTGAATATAAAACAGTGAATACATTTCAGTAACATTAGGAATCTCTTTTATTTCCTTACGTGATCTTTGTATGAGCTCTGATGCTGGTGATTGCAGCCAGAAAGAGTTCTTGGTCAATGCATAGCATGTCATCAATGTATATAGCTTCCCCTGTGGTGTGTTTAATGGCCGACTGGTACATGACTGGGTGTCCAGCTGGATCTTGTGGGGGTTGGTAGTGATCCACACACTGTTAACAGACAAAGTAAATTATTTTGCCATGAGGAATTCTCAGGCCCTGAAAATTAGGTCTGATATATTTGGCTTACTCACAAGTTAGGAAAAAAACCCAAAACCAAAAAACTATTGGCAAGTGCCTGTAGTCCCAGCTACTGGGGAGGCTTCAGTGGAAGAATTACCTGAGTCCAGGAGGCAATTGGGTATCCATATCCATGAGTCCAGGTTAATAAATGTCCATTAAGTATTAAGTACGATGGTAAGGGATTATAGTCCGGTTGCAATTCCCCTCTTGCCCCCAAAAGAAGACATCCTAGATTCAGAGTGGTTGTAATAAAGCAGAGAAGGCTTTCTAGAGGCAGTAAATGTTCACTCAGGTTTTAAAGGAAGAACAGGTATTGGCCAAGCAAAGGAGGTAATTTTAGGTAACTAAGCTGAAAATAATAGAGAACAATGATTCCCATGTAGCCTTGAATAAAAGCATAGAAGCTAAACCAAGCCGGCTGTGTGTTTATAGCAATAGGTAACATCAGCTGGCTTCAATAGACATTATCTTAAATATAGTTATTGAAAAGAAGGGGAAGTATGCATAATGCACACATCTGAAGGCAGAAACATTAAAAAACAAGAAACCCGGTCCTGAAACAAGAAACCAACCTGAAACATCTGAATTCCTTGGGGTGATTCTATGGGGAAGTCTTCTAGAGCACTCATGAACTTTTCTGGGATGTTGGGAAACTTACGGGGATCCTGAAAAGAAGATTATTTCCTGTTTAATTTTTACAATTCAAGTGAGTATCTTGGAAAAATACATATGGAAATAAAGTTATTCAATCTATTCTGTTAGATCTTAGATGCCAGTTCTGCTGGGAGAAAGCTCTCAGCTTCAAGTTCCCTAAGCTTGTAGCAGTTGCTTGAATAATAACTACATCTATTTACATGCACAGAAAAGTGAATGTTGTTTCCAGGAAGTAAAGATTTCCTTTCATGACAAGGTGCCCTTTTGAATGAATTAAAATATAGATACTTCTAAATAGAGGCTGTGCTTCTGAACCTGGGCCAGCCTTGTGGGCATGTATCTCAAAGAAACAATTGAGGGAGTTGAGAAAGATTAATATATAAGGATGTTCAATTGAAGATTATTTGTGATAGTAAAGAAACTAGAATTAAACCAAATATCCAACAATAGGGAAATTATGGTACATCCAAATGCAATATTCTACAGTCATAAAAAATAATTTTGCAGAAATGTCTTTAATGACATTGAAAAATTCATGAAATATAGTAAAGTAAAAAAAGTTACAAAAATTTATGTACAATATGATCCCATGTTTTGTAAAGAAAAGAATATAAAAATATAAAAGTATGTATTCCAAAATGTTAATAGTGGTTATGGTAGGATTATTAGATTACAGTTCATTTAAAAAATTTTGTTCCTCCATATTTTGAATTATTTTATGATGATAGTATAATAAATAGAAGGCAATATGTAAGATAATATATGATAATCTATTAAATATGCTAATCTATTAAACATAATCTATTAAATATATGATAGCATACTGAATACATTTTTCTCTATCTTTTATATGTTATCATATATTTATAATGTTTAATTATCAATGCCATTAATATGGATTTATATGTGATATAATCTATTAAATCTATACTTATATTTTTAGACAATATGTATAAAATTATATACTTTTCTACTATGTTATATAATACATAATAGATTATATAATATAGAATATAATAAAGTAATAATAATAAAGTTAACAAAATAATAAAAAGGACTGGCTGAACTAAGAGAGCAAAGCTCTCAGTCATAAAAGGGATGTGGGTGTAATCATCTGTCTGCCATTTTGGGATCACCTCGTGGCTGATAAGGGGGCACTCATGGTCATGGGTCATATTCTGAGAATCACTGCTGTGGGGGTTATTTTAAACTAGGCTAGGTTAAAAAAATAGTTAACAGAAAAGTAAAAATAATCTAAATGTCAAAAATAAGGAATGGATCAAATAATGAATGGTGCATCTATCTCTAAACATGCCATGCAACCATTATGCCATGATGCCACTGAAAAATATTTAATGTCATTGAAAAATGGTTATATTACTAAGTGAAATAAGCAAGCTATACTACACAGTTATACACATATATACACATACACATATACATCCTTAATGAAGGGTTTCAAAGGATGCACAACAAAATAGTAATAGTGTTTATGGGTGATGGGATTACAAAAGATTTTCTTCTCCTTTTTAACTTATTCACATTTTCTAAATATTAAAGTATTATTTTAATTTTAATAAGAAAACTTTCTTTCAAAAAGGAAAAGATATCCACTTTTTAAAGTCAGCTTCTGCTAATGGAACACAGTCTTTCTCCATCAGGTCTTGTTCTGTTGCTGATGAGAAACTGTGATCCCCTGTAGAGGGAGACGCATTCTGATTTTGGGTATTCTCAGCCTTTTTAGGCTGGTTTCTTCCCTTCGTTATAAATTTATCCATCTGTGGTCTTTATAATTACCGTCTTTATAGTTGGGTTTCTGAATGGACGTCCAACTTGTTGATTCCCGGCGCTAGAATCTGAGCAACCCACTGTGCCGGCCAGAACAGCAGCTTTAAGATTGATGGTGCTTTTCTGACTCTGCACCGAGAACCGCCGCACCAAGGCAGCGGCAAAACCGCCTCACCGGCCTCAAGAGTCGCGCTGGCGACACATGGGGCTCCTCCGCTGGGAATCTCCTGGTGCGTGAGCAACAAAAATTGATCTGAAAGTGTGGCGTCCTCTCGTTCTCTGCACTTTCAGTGGGAGCTGCAATCCCGAGCTGCTAGTGATCAGCCATCTTGGATCTCTCTGGGAATTAAAAGAACTTGTTCTAACCCAATGCAAAGAAACTAAGAACTTTGAAAAAAGGTTTGACGAAATGTTAACAATAACACACAATTTAGAGAGGAATATAAGTGAATTAATGGAGCTGAAAAATACAACACGAGAACTTCGCGAACTATGCACAAGTTTTAACAGCCGAATTGATCAAGCAGAAGAAAAGATATCAGAGGTCGAAGACCAACTTCATGAAATAAAACAAAAAGACAAGATTAGAGAAAAAAGGATAAAAAAGAACGAGTAAAGTCTCCAAGAAATATGGGACTATGTGAAAAGACCTAATCTACGTTTGATAGGTGTACCTGAATGTGACAAAGAGAACCAATCCAAGCTGGAAAATATGCTTCAGGATATTATTCAGGAAAACTTTCCCAACCTAGCAAGGCAGGACATATTCAACTCCAGGAAATACAGAGAACACCACAAAGATATTCCTCAGGAAGACCAACCTCAAGGCACATAATCGCCAGCTTCACCAGGGTTGAAATTAAAGAGAAAATACTGAGGGCAGCCAGACAGAAAGGTCAGGTTACCCATAAAGGAAAGTCTATCAGACTCACAGCAGATCTCTCAGCAGAAACCCTACAAGACAGAAGAGAGTGGGGGCCAATATTCAATATCCTTAAAGAAAAGAACTTTCAACCCCGAATTTTACATCCAGCCAAACTAAGCTTCATAAGCGAAGGAAAAATAAAATCTTTTGTGAACAGGCAAGCACTCAGCGATTTCATCACCACCAGGCCTGCTTTACAAGAGCTTCTGAAAGAACCACTACAAATAGAAAGGAACAACCAGTATCAGCCTTTCTAAAAAATACCAAAAAAAAAGAACATCAACATAATTAAGAAATTGCATCAACTAATGGGCAAAACAGCCAGCTAACATTAAATGATAGTATTAAACATACATATATTGTTATTAATTCTAAATTTAAATCGACTAAATCCCCCGATCCAAAGACACAGACAGGCAAAAAAAAAAGCCAAGACCCATTGGTATGCTACATCCAGATCCATCTCACATGCAAGGATACACAAAGACTCAAAACAAAGGGATGGAGAAAAATTTACCAACCAAATGGAGAGCTAAAATAAATAAATAGAAAGCAGGAGTTGCAATTTTTGCTGATAAAATAGATTTCAAAGCAACAAAGATCAAAAGAAGCAAAGAAGGATATTACATAAAGATAAAAGGATCAATGTAACAAGAGCTAAAGATCCTAAACATATATGCACCCAATACAGAAATACCCAGATATGTAAGACTTATAAAGAGACTTGGACTCCCACACAATAATAGTGGGAGACTTCAACATCAATATTAGATAGATCAATGAGACAGAAAGTTAACATCGATATTTAGGACTTGAACTCAGATCCGGAACAAGTAGACTTAATTAACATTCATAGAACTCTCCACTTTAAATACACAAAATATACACTCTTATCAGTACTACATCACATGTATTTACAGGTTTAAATGAAATATTGGTTGGCTGCTTGTTATTTTCTTCCTTCATTTTTTTTTTTTTAATGTCTCTATTATTAAACACAATTACAGGCATACCCATTTTTAGACTGCATTCTAGCCCGGGCAATAAAGCAACACCCCTGTTCTCTCTCCCTCTTCCTCTTCCTCTTTCTTCCTTTCCTTTATTCTTTTTCTTTATTATTTTTCTTTCTTTCTCTCGTTCTTCCTCTAAAAAAAAAAGAAGAAGAAGAAGAAAAAAGATAATTTACTTACTGAAGACTTCTCACCACTGTAGGTCAATCTGACCTTGCACGTTAGTGTTTGTCACACAGATAAGGCAAATGGTGTAAAGTGTAATGAAGCTGTCCCTTTCTCAGCCCAGGAGTGAAGGAAGGGAGAGGGAAGGAGAAGAGCAAAGTGGCCCAGGAAGAGACATTGGAGTCTGGGAAGCATCACACTAAGGGCAACAGCCCAGGAAGCCTCCACGTGTTATCAAAGGCAGGCGGTTGGGGAGTCCTTCATATACAGATCCATGCTGAGAATGTGAAGGCACCCTGAAACCCAAAGAAGCCATGTACCATTTGATTCAGTCCTCACCTCACTTTCAGGTAGAACTTGAAGAGGGTGCTGATGATGAGGGTTCGCCTGTACTCCATCATGCCACCCTCAGCTGCTGGTGGGATGTAGATCTCATCCAGGACCCACTGGCAGGCATCACTCAACATTTGGTCATCCCATTGCCTAGTAGGAAAGGATGTTAACGTTTCACAGAAGAGGCAAAGACAGAATATCGTATTTGGATGTACCATAATTTGTCTCACAATTTCCCTGTTGTTGGATTTTAGTTTAATTCTAGATTCTTTACTATTACAAATAATCTGCAATTGAACATCCTTGTAGGCAAAGACAGACACTAAACTGACATGGCAAGGAAAGATGGAGAGCAAGCTGTATCCACCTTTGAAGTCTAGACAAAATGTCTTCCAGATAGTTCATTAGCTTTTTTTAAGACGCAGTGCTTTCCAAACTTTCCATGTTAAGTCCTCCTATATTATTATTTTTCATTTCAAGGGTTGGGAAAAACCAAAGCTTCATGAGATCCGGGCCTTTGTCGGTCTTGTCCACTGCTGTATCTCCAGCAACCAGATGAGTGCCTGGCATACACACTATACTAGGTAAATATTTGGTAAATTACCAAATTATTGGAGATAGCTGTAAAATATTTCACAAGTCAATGTTTCTATATGAATTTTTTGGAAGCATGAAGTTATTTTTGTATCTGAGAAAAAACTCACATTAAGTTCTAACTGTTGACAGAGTGGATAAAAAGTATTGTAGAAGCACTAGTTGGAAACATTTTTAAAAATTACTTTTCAAATGTTAGTGATAATGAGAGTGACAGGAGGGAGGCCATTTAACCTTTTAAACATTTCATCTTTTTAAATGTGGTTTAAGGGCATTTTCGGATGTCTTAGGGCACAGCATTGGAGACTTACTATACAGCCTAATTAAAAGTGAAAAATTAAAGATAACATTTGCTCAGACTAAGTAATTTGTGCATTAATCTCATTGCAGAAACCTGTAATAAAAGAATCATTGTACCTTAAAGAGGGTGGCTTTCGGGTGGCTTGTATTTATACTTTTCTTCAGTGCTTAAATTTTCTAAAGGATTGTATATATTTTTATAATCAGAAAAAAAATTCCCAAAGTGCTAGTTTCATTAAAAAAATCTAAAGTAGAAAGGCCTGAGTTTCATGACCCAGATGTACTATGTCATACCTCCCGATGAGCTGCTTGCAGGTTTGGCTTGCAGAGACAATGGCGGGGCTCAAGCTTCCATAGAACATTTGAAATTCCTTGATTGTGTTTGTGCCATCTTCAAACTTCATGCTTATCCCAGCATTGACAATAGCAAATGCATTCTCTTGACGCTGGGCCACGCAGAGTCCAAACACAAAGTGTCACTGGAGATAGAAAAACACTCAGAACATTTAGTGCTTACTCCACTGTCTGCCATACAGCGACACCTTTGATGACTGGGTCTCTAGGCACTGTGATTGACTATAGTTGACATATATACCATATATGGGTACTGTCCTATGTGGTTCATATGTATTGATACTTAGTCCTTACAAGTCTTCTCATTTTCAATTTGTGATGAGGAAACTGAGAGGTTAAGTAACTTGCACAAGGTCACACAGTAAGTGGCAGAACTGGGGTTCAAAGCCAAGCAGTCTGGCTCCAGAGTCTATGCTTATCCGCTAAGCTTTATTTCTTTCAACTCTGAATGCTCGCATGTGGCCTCAGGCAAGTGACTTAAAAACCTGGGTCTTAATTTTCTTTGAAGTGAGAAGGCTGGGTTAGATCAGGTGGTGCCTCAGGGGCTGCTAAATGGAATGAGGGGAAGATTGGCAGATAGGATGCCTCTGAGATGGAATCACCACAGCTTCACTTTCATCTGTTTTAGTTTGCTGTTCTATGTAAATTTCATTAGAACAAAGAGTTGTGCTGTTAAAAAAAAAAGAGAGAGAACAGGCTTGAAAAACCACTGGACTTGGCCGGGCACGGTGGCTCACGCCTGTAATCCCGGCACTTTGGGAGGCCGAGGCGGGTGGATCACGAGGTCAAGAGATCAAGACCATCCTGGTCAACACGGTGAAACCCCGTCTCTACTAAAACTACAAAAAATCA